CCAGTTTTTCCTATACATTTAAAAAAAAAAAAGAAGTTTAATCAATGCTTGATGTGGTTATTGAACCGGCCTCCCATCGGGGGCGCTGTGGCGCTGTCGTTAACCATGCGACAATCGAGTAAGATGAATTAAGTTAAAATAATCGACCTTTTAATCATGACATCACATGCGCATCCTGGAATGATGATTTTAGCCTTCTTCTCTCCTGTCATAGTTTAAATGTAGCAATCATCACACAAACATTTCCTGTTAACCAAATGGCGGTAAAGAGAAATCTTTTCCTGCTTTCATTCTGAAAAACGCGTACAGACAAAACGAGAGAGCGATTATTAAAGTAGCGTACGCTTCAGCTGTCTTCCAAGTGACAGTATGACAGGATGCGTGTCTAAGCGGCTTGGATCACATGCGCATCCTGGAATGATGATTTTAGCCTTTTTCTCTCCTGTCATAGTTTGAATGTAGCAATCATCAAACAAACATTTCCTGTTAACCAAAATGGTGGTAAAGAGAAATCTTTTCCTGCTTTCATTCTGAAAAACGCGTACAGACAAAACGGGACAGCGATTATTAAAGTAGCGTACGTTTCAGCTGTCTTCCAAGTGACAGTTTGACAGGATGCGTGTCTAAGCGGCTTGACAAACATTAGCATAGCCGGCAAACTCCTCACCCAGCCTGTCGCGTTTTACCAGACAGAGGTCAGACTTCACGTCCATATGGAGGGGCGGGGGGCACTGTACATCATCAGAATTACATTAAATGACTTATTTGCATGAAAAACACTTTTAGACCTTGACAATCAAATGAAAACATAATCGACTCCGACATAGCGAAGCAGATGTGGCTCATTGCCCAATGTTATTTTTGAACGCCATGTTTCAAATAATTGTCAACAACCGGTTGTGACCACGGCGTGACTCCGTGTTTTCCACTGTACGTTTGACGGCAGCAGGCGCGATAGTCATAAGAACTTGTGCCTAATTTTCTAAGACCACCAATAGCGGTCGCTAATCGGTGTTCACTCTCACCCACAGGTGTCAAACTCAAGGCCTGGGGGCCATATCCGGCCCGCTACGTCGTTTTCTGTGGCCGGCGAAAGCAAATCATGCATGCCAACTTCAATGATCCTTGCTGAAATTTGTAGCGAAATGTCAAATTGTCATGCGCGTTGAGATTTTGCAAGAAATTTGTTACCCTGTTCCCATTCACTTGAACAATAATCAAACAAACAAATTGAACAAACTTGTAATCCATCAATGTTGTGTACAAGTAATTTTACGATTTGTTGATTAAACATTTATTCAGTGTCACTGTCGTAACGGCCGGCCCTCCGAGGGAAGACGTAATTCATGACAAAAATGAGTTTGACACTCCTGCACTAGCCGAATGCTCTTGCTGTTAGCGGACGTATTGACCTACGATGATCAGCAGGATTACATGGAGGAAGAGGTGACATTTCCAACGTATTTTATTTTTTTTTCAAGGATAAATACTTTGAAAAATATAAGTAGAGAGAGGCTGATAAAGAATATATGCACATGTAATATATAAACGAAACCTTTGACATCCTGGGTTTCATAGGAAACATTGGAAATATTAACCCAATACTATCCTTAGAATTGACTTCCCTCATTCTATGTCGTTTATACAGTTACAAGCAAAAAATATATATAATAATAATTAAATAAAATAGGATGGTTTTGCAGGCAGCGTGAAAGCGGCCTCTTCCTCTCCTTTCATCGCTGCACCAGACCGAGGGGCGTTGGGGGGTGGGGGGGATACAGGGGGGCTAGCTAGGCTACTCGTTCAGTCTGCAAGGTGGCGCGTCGGTTGACAAGTGCGTTTACAAATGCGATCTGTAAATCTCACAGACATTATTTCCTCCTCCTCGAGGGGGGGCGCAGGGATTTGCAGCCCTGCGTGAGTGACTCATTGTCTTTGTGGTGCGGTTTTAACAGCGCGAGACGCAGTCGGTGTGTAAAGAACAACTACCTCTTGTCGGATTCTGTTTGTTTCAGGGGCAAGGTTTTTCCTGATAACCTTGTTCCATTTGAAGAAAAATGATGCAACTTTTCGTTTTAAAACCAGCAAGGCGACATTTTTGTGGTCAAGGCTACAAATTGTCCGATGGTAACATATCTAAAATTGGAAAAAAATGTGCTGGGGTTTTTATCTTTTGACAAATTTCTCGAGCAGCGCGGGGCTCTTGTGGTTAACACACCTGTCTCACAAGTTTTCAGATTCCTGGTTTAAATCTCAGATCCGGCCTTCCTGTGTGAAGTTTTTAGGTTCTCCCTGCCCGTGTTTGGTTCGGTTCAAGATTTTCCATATGTGTGAATGTGAGAATGCTTGTTTGTCTTGCGAATGGCTGGCAACCAGTCTGGGGTGTGCGCCGCAGCTCGGCAAAAGTCCGCCGGGACGGCCGCCAGCGCACCCACAACCCCAATGTGAACAGCGATATGTTTTATATACTTTGTAGGCCAAAGAAAAGATTGTGTAGTCTGTGCCATACTTGGTCCTCCCCTGATTTATCGGAAAAACAAATCAAGAGAGTCAGACGGCTCAGAAATCACGTTTTTTTTTTTTTTACTAGAACACAAGATCATGTTACATTGCTTTACCGCTGAAAACGTTCCGTGCCCCGTCCGTCTTCGGATGGTTACAGATGTGGTGGGGTGCACAAGAATACGACTTTCAAACAAGCCGTGTCAAAATGGCCGCCGTCAAAACTTCACCACGGCTCTTCTCGGAAATCACATCTGGATCGATTACACTGTAGCTCTGTGTCGGCAGAGAAAAAAAAACAGTATGCTGCGTTGATTCTAAAAGCGTACGTCTTTACAAAAAGAGTATCGTGTCGGTGGTTTACAACGACGTCTAAAGAGTCCTATACATCAACCAGTTGTTAAAAAGCAGGCCCGAAAAGTCCCCTTAGGAGCATTTAGCGAGTACACCATTATAAGTTGCTACAAAACATCAGAAGAGTGTAGGCTATTGTATATTCATATCATCGTAACATGTGGTGAGGAATACCAAATAGGCTTACGGAACTCGAACGACGTCGTCACTTCCAAGTTCACACGTTGGTGAAAAAGACAAACTATAAAAGCGCAAACATCAATAAGTGGACTCGAACAAAGGCAACAAGCTCGTATATTTGTGTGAGTGAAGTGTACGTAAGAATAAAACGGCATCTTTGGCTGGGAGATTAATACATGGTTACATTTAGTCTGCGGCAATCAAAAGCCTTTTTTTTTTTTCGCACGGAGATTCCGCAAAATTGCTGCGTCGGAGCCACGAATGAAGAACGGTGTTTTGATTTCAGACGGTGACGGAGCATATCGCCAAAAACAAACAAACAAAAAAAAAAAACCCCGATTCGATCATGACTGCGTTGTGGCATGAGCATTGCTTTCGACACAACTGGAAATGGGGAAGTGAAATCTCCTTGCACACGGGCGTCATCCGGGCTTTGTTAGGGCTCGGATGCGACGTTTGAAAACAGAAAATGACGCCAGCAAATCGCAGGTTCGTAACATTTATCCGCATTTTGTCTTTTACACCGAGCCCAGCGAAATGATACTGAACCTACCGCGTGCGGTTTCACACAGCGACACAGCATCCCGCATCCCAATAATCAGATTACGGCACTGCGGAATACCCTTCGTCACAATCAAATGCGTGAAACGGATGCATTGGCTACGCCGCCCCCCTCCTGGAGTGGAGAGCGACACGCAAGCTTTTACCGATGTTGTTTTTAAACAACTTAAAACAATTCAATTCTCGTCGTAGCAGATTCCCGCATCTGATGTTCTGCTGATTTTGACTCCATTCTATTCCGGGATGTTGTCAATTACGCAGGATTGTCGATTACCACGTCTCGAAGCAATTGAGTTAAAACGGAACGCGCGACTCGGCTTAAGTCATTGAATTCCCGGATGAAAGCATTGTGATGTCCACTTTGCGTTTTATAAGAGGAAACTTATCAAATAAATAAATCAGGGTGGTTATAAAACGCCATCTGCCATCCAGAGTAAAAAACAACAATCGATTAATCGATCGTTCGTTTTCCCCGTGGCGGAATCAGGAAAATGTTGTGTAATGTCCAGCCATAATTTTTTTTTACTGACTGCCGAACAACATTTGGTGTCACCACAACAAGTTAATGTGATCCAATGCAAAAAGCTCCATTTGCATCCTAGCCAGAGCCGCCGTCAATATTTTGCTTTCCTATACAGTCATACCTCGGCTTTCGACCATAATCCGTTCCAGAAGGCTGTTCGAAAACCGATTTGTTCGAAAACCGAAACCACACACTTTAAAACAAAAAATCTTTATTGAACACGTCTGCTCACAATGGAACGCTACACGAGGAAGTGACGCTTCCTCGGGTAGACGTGGAAGTGGGTAGACGGGGTAGACGTGGAAGCGGAGAGGAGTCAAAGAACCCAAGAGGAGTCAAGTGGCGCATTCAAGCGCGCTCAGTTTGGTCGAGAATCAATTTGGTCATCCGAGGCATAAAAAACTCCAAATTTTTGGTCGAAAACCGATTTGGTCGGGAACAGAGACGTTCAAAAACCGAGGTTTGACTGTATTTGAGTTAAAAAAAAAAAGCCCTTGTGTTTGGATCTCATTGAATTGTTGTCCAGGTCGACTTTTTACTGTACTCACCATGACATGATCCGCTAAAACAACGATTGATGTACCTTTTTTGGACGAAGCAAAATAAAATGATGACAACTGATTCTACTGCTAACGCCTTGCCCTAAACCCGTAGAAAGAACACCTCAAGGTCACAGCGAGCAGATTGTCCGACCTGCTTCCAAAGCAGGAGAAGCTTCACTCGTTGTAGGTTCGACACCCTGTCAAAGATGAGCAATGGCTGGAATCGGTGGCGGAGATCAGATAAAAAGGGGGGGGGGGGCAAAGCCAAAAAGTTTGGGGTTGAAGTGAATTATTGCCTTGTTAACTGTATGCAGTACGATTTGATATTCACGTGATTCTTTTTTTTTTTTCAATGTGCGGTAAGTGAATTGCACTGATGATTAAGTCATTGGTGCGTCCATGCCAGGTCTGCTCCACGGAGTCTCCTTATGTGTGCCCTAATGGCAACGGGCCTCGGGGCTGTTTCGGATGAAAATAATCCCGCCGCTTTCTAAATGTTTTAACATTCGGCATCCGTGTTCCAGGGCATAATTAAAGAGCGTTGCCCTAAATTGCTTTGCGGCGAACGGAGGCTTGCGACGTCCCCGGATCAACCCAAATCTCAAGCCCCATTTCACCTCCATTCGCATCTCCGCATGGCAAGTGAGAGCGTGTTCTTCAGGGGAGACATGGAAAGAAACTTAGGAGGGAGCAACATTCCTCTGATTCTTAGCGGAGTGAACAGGCTTCCTCTTTTTAGCGACGGTGCATTATCCTCAGATCGTGGAATCCAACAAAAGCAGGAGTCTTTTGCACTCATGTTGTCGACGTTTACGATTCCGGCGCGGGGGGCGTACTCACTCTCGAAAGAGCAGGCGGATCCAAAAATTTAGAAGTGGGGGCGGATGGTTCCTCAGAAGGTGCAGGCGTAGACCACGCCCACCACCACAATGTTTCCAATCGTGGCCACAATGGCGATCCAAAGCCAGATGGCATCACTGGACATGGACTGCGATTCGTCCGGCTGGCCGTGCACCGAGGCCGCCGAGGCGGCGGCGTGGACGCTGGCGGATGAGTTGAAGAGCGAGTGCTCGCCGCTGTAGTCGTCGTTTGGCGACGAGTCCATGAAGGCTCCCGTCATAACTGGGATCTGAAAGCGGGGAGATCAAAAACAAAACTGGTCATATGCCCTGAAACAAAACCTGATTGATCGCTAACAAGTAGGGGTGAAACAAAAAATGGTTTGAATTGGAAAAATTGGTTTTAATTTGAACCAAATCAAATTCGACAAAAGGTGGAAGGCAGTCTCCACATGCCCAACTTATCATCCGCAAGTGGATATCTTGCAGTTCCTTTTAAATGTACTTTGCCATGTAGACCACATGGTTCTTTCTGCGCTGAATTTAAAGGGAATGATGGGAGCCACTTAGAATGTCTGGGAGTTGGCTGCGTTCTCTCCCACAGCGGCGCAAATGCCCACTTCTACATGCGCTCATCTAAGAAAATACCAACAAAGAGAAAAACCCCACCAGGCGCACAGTTAGACTGTGCTTTGCGCTAGACGTCGTATCATGGGCAGCCTTCTGATAGTAAGAACCCCATATCTTGACGAAGAAAAAAGTGGACAGCCAAAGTTGTCTTTGTCGTTCGCTTTTCTTCTGGGTGGGCGCCAAATCCCTGGTTTATCATGATTTTTGGAAGCGACGACGATCTTTGTGCCTTGCAAACATAGCAACAGCTCGCGGTGAAAAGCGGGGTTCGAAAGCTAAAGTCGTCTTTGACGTGATTATCTTGAGAAGAAGCTCACAAGTGTTAGGTGAGTCAACACAACATTTCCACATCGCGAAAGGCTTTCCTGCTCTCACACAGGCGCGGGCGTGTGCATACATTTAGCAAGCTGCGCTTGATTAACATGAAATTAATATTACCACACGTGGTAAGCGAAAGTGACGCATTGCTTCGGACAATTGTAGACTCAATCATTTGAGCAGAAGGAACTTTCTGTTGAGTGTGGGTGTATATTTGTCCGGTGTTTTTTTCCTGCATTAATGGAGTGTGTGTGTGTGTGTGTGTGTGATCGAGACATTTGTGTAACTGGGTTCATCTGGAAAACTGTTGAAAAACAACGCTAAAAATACCTCGGAGGCATGTTGCACTCTGGCATACACAGAAATTCATGCTTCCTCATTTGCTCACCTTCTCGCTCTCACTCACTCTCTCTAACACACACGCACGCACGCACGCTCACACGCTTCAGGTCTTCCCTGGCACACGGGCCGGGGAATACTGTTTGGAAAGCGCTCTCCTTCCGCTCCCTTCATTGGCCCCTGGTGGTGAATAATGACAAGACACATCCCGTGGAGCGCCCGCTGTGAACATGAGCGTGATGGAGGCAGACAGGCGTGCAGAGCGTCTAGCAAACCTGATAGGGAGCAAGCAAGCCTTTCATCACGCTTCCCTTTTTTTTTAAGAATAATTGGAATCACTGGAAAGACAAAAAAACAGACAAAAAACAGGCAGTGTGTGTGTGTGTGTGTGTGTGGGTGGGGGGGGGGTTGGGGTGCATGTGTAAATCGACTTACAGTATTCTGCATATTTTTCTGTAACTTGGCGTTAAACTGCAAATTGTATGCTCAGTATTGTTTCAATGTGCTTTGTGTTCTTGGTTTGGAAATACAGTATCATGGAAAACAGGGGTGTCAAACTCATATTTGTCACGGGCCACATTATAGTTAACGTTTTCCTTGGGGGGGCCGTTATGAGTGAAACCATATGAAGAAGTCAAGAATAACGGTTTATTCACCTATTGTTAAGTTGAGAAGTTTGGTAACAAGAAAATGCTTACGGTGTCACTCTTATTCATTAAAAATGAGAATTTGAAATTTTGATAGAGATTTTAGCGGGCATCATAAACGTTGCCATCTTTGAATTGCTTTCGCGGGCCACATAAAATGATGGGACGGGCCAGATCTGGCCCCCGGGCCTTGAGTTTGACACCTGTGATGTAAAATGTCACCGGATGGACAGACACATTGAAGAATATGCTGAATGACATTTTTTTTCCCTCTAAAATAATTTAGAATCTGTACTCTTCAGTCAAACATTTTCGATCCAAGCAAACGAAAAATGACTGGGGGAAAAGAAAGTCTTACTGAGTGTAAAATAACCAAAATAATAATCCTAATCGTTTCAGGCCACATTAACATTTTTGTTGATTTGAATTGGTTAGAATGAGCGTCTGTTATGCCGACCGTCTCCAACATTTGGTCTGATGCGAACGGAAGCTCTCCACCCTGTCTACATTCTTTATATCGATGTTTTATTCAGTAACTCATTGTCCACAGAAGCGAGCTGTTTGCATAAATTGGGAAGTGCACTGAATAAAATGAAGCGCGAAGACATTCCGGTCGACGTTGCACGCTTCTAAATATTTCATTGTTGGGGTTTACGCTTTTTTTTTTTTTTTTTAAATGGCCACGGTGCCTAAATATAACTATCCGTATCTATACGTTTCTACTGTCGGAAATCCCATGAGCATGTGACGCAAGACATAAATGCAACAAGAGGCTAATCGCTAATGGAACAGAGGCAACTACAGCCGAGACTCGGGCATTTCCGAAGTATCTTAGCTCTTAAGTGGCTCGAAAAAGGTCATCCCTCCATGCATTACCGGCAGTGAACTGGTGCTTATTGACATTTCATGGATCAGTGGCCTCGGTGGCGGTGTAGGCGATGGCCCTCCAAAAGATAATGCTGAAACTGAGAAGCAGAGTGGCAAGTTGAAAGTTGAATTTTAAACAATTCACATCAAATGCCATTTCCGTTTCATACTAAAACGGAGCCACGAGAAAGCATATTGTCGGGGATCTGTTTTGGCACGCGGAGAGTGGAGTCGAAACATTTGTGACTTCAGAGCAGTCCTTGAAAGCAGCATGATTGTTTATCTCTCCAAAGGGATTTTCAAGATGCCATATCGGTATTCCATAAACCTAATAGACATTTCGCATCACTCCAAAATTGCTAGTCATCACAGTGGAAATGCATTCTGGGAGTAACGCTGTCAGGTCGTGTTCAAGATAAGTGGCTAAAAAGCGCTGGCATACACACTCTGCATTCGTTTCCCTTAAACCGAAACGTCCTGCAATCTCCAACAGGATATCCCAAATTTGTCCGTTCTTGCGGAAGGAACTCACGCTGACAGCGAGAAACGCTCCTGTCAGATCCCGTTACCCCCACGTATGATATCCAAAAGGAGTGACACACCTTTTAAAATTCTTACCGACGGACACGGCTCACTAAAATATCGGGCCGCTGTTGTTTTCAGCCCGATAGCTGGATGCCTACCTCGGGTAGGTTTCTTGTGATCTTCAGCCAGATGGTTTACTATTTGTGATCGGCAACGAGGGGAATGAGTCCTGGCAGCTGCTACTGTCACATTATGTTCTCCACGTTTACAACATGAAATTAACCCATCTGTCAAATTCCTACAGAATGGACATGTCCCCATGAACATTCAGTAGGTCCTCGTTGTTATCTGGAAAATATATATTTCATTTTAGGTCATCTATATCAGTGGTCCCCAACCTTTTTTTTAAGGGGGGGGGGGTTACACGGACCAGTTGAGACAAGCACATGTTGCTCACGAATCGTCAACCTTTTTTTCCATAGCTTTTAACTTGCCAGTTTTAACACTTTCATGCAGCCTGTAACCCAGAGGTGTCAAACATACGGCCCGCGGGCCGGAACCGGCCCCCAAGGAGGTTCGATCCGGCCCGCGGGATAATTTAAATGTGGGGAAAAATGCGTTAAAGACACAGAATGAATATTTTAAATAAAATGCAATTCTGAATTATCCACTAAGGGGCACACTGTTTTGATCACAGTAGAAGACAACATTGTTTTGATTGGGGAAGAAAACAGCAGTCTCAGTCTGTCACCGAGATAGACCCAACGCAGCAAATGATATGAAAGCGCCAATCAATGCTTCTTGAGACCAAAACAAAGGAAAGAGATGAGATTTTGGTGATTCATAGCACAGTATGGTATCATGTTAATGGTTCGGCCCACTTGACATCTATCGAGTCCGTATGCGGCCCACAATGTGAAATGAGTTTGACACCCCTGCTGTAACCTGATAACAAAAGCCGTCCACAGTCGTAACCGCTGTCCCTGAAAGGGATAAAGCACTGCTAATGACAACAACGATGATTATAGAGTCATGAAACATTTTATTAATAGGTTTTTTTTTTCATTCGTTTTCAACAGTGTTATTCTACTGTACAGCAAATAACATTTAATCACACAGAGCGCTACTCAGAAATGGACTAATAGGGAATAATAATTACGCCTTCTAAGTTATGATCCTACGGCGTTAGCATCACTGCTACTTGCAAAATGTGTCCGATGAAAAGATGACACGTTTGATTTGATGCTTTCATCCGGCGGTTGTCGTCGAGTTATTAGCATCTAAACTGCTAATTTTTACGTGGTCAGGCTTTGCAAGCTCGCATTGTCACATGCTTTCTACTCGATCACTTAGGTGCTACTTGTTCAAATAATAAATCAATAGGTTTCGAGTATCGCCTTGTTTTTGACAACAGGCTTCCTCCTCCACGTCGCTCTGGAGATACCTCGGGGGGTGAATTATCTTGTCAAAAGAGCTTCCTCTTCGAAAGTCATGGCTGCCCGTCAGCTGCGCGTTGAGCCGTGCGTTCAATTTGCTCTTATTAGTTTCTGTTTCCCGCTTCTTCTTTTATTTATTGGCGGATACTGTTTAATTTCAACTTGCAAAGCACGGTTAGAAAGGGGACTCTGATTATCTAGAGTTGCGCACATTTGACGGAGTAAATATGCGCACTTCGCTCGTAGCTGAGAAGCAATGTGCTGTCATTCAACAAATTCGTTACTTCACGGTCTTTTTTGGAGAATAGACAGTCCAAGAAGGCCCTGTCCCCACCATCCAGAAACAAATGGGTCCATTCTGGTTTTTCCCCCTCCAACATTAACACACATGGATGAGCGCGGGTAAATGTGAACTCAAATGATCTGTAATTGCCTCCACCACCACCAGTTCAGTCCTTGCTCAGCTGACTTCACAATATGGCCTTAAACAACGCGTGTATGTAAATGTAACGCGATAGAGGGAACCCG